TTTTTTTTTTCTTAATTCTAACGCGTTTTTATTGCTTTTGCTAGCACCGTTGTTGTTATGAACGTTATCAACATCGTCATCATCATCAAGGAAAAAGAGAAAAATGAAAACGAAAAATGAGAAAAGGCAACAGATAAACAAAGAAATATCCAACAAGTAGCAATTTTTAGATATACTTACTTTTTTTTTTTTTTGCAAAGACTTTTTTTTTGTTCATTTTTGTTTATCTTCAATAAACATAAAGAATATTATTTATAAATCTATAGATATTATGAATGTCCCAAACTGGTACCGATCTAGAACAGATAAAACGAAATACCAATAGTTTGTGCAATACATTTAGAAGTGAAGTAAAAATTAAATTTTGCTCTCTCTGTTATTTTCATCTTCGGTATTATCTTTTTGTTTAAGAAACAAGCCTAGCTTTATTTATCTTTGTTTGTTTGTTTTTTTTTCAACATTTATCGCACTTTCAACGAACATTGTTTTCTGATAGCTACTAAACGAAATTTGTGTAAATTAAAGTATAAAAGAAAGAAATAAGTTAAGCAGCTTGAAAAAATTGATAGTTGAATAAAGTAGGAAGAAAAAAAGTTAATAGTAAACCGAGTTTTGCAAGTGCATTTTTATAAGTCTGCAGTTTTGTTGCTCGAAATAGCAAAATACAACCATCGAAGCTTAACGATGTCCAGAGATCATCCTGCAAACAGCAAAATGAAACAACCAAATATTCACTGGTGATATTATAATTAGAATAATCATAACTAAATCCAAAGAAGACTTGCCTTTTTTCATATGTTTTTTTTCCTCTTGTTTTGATTGTTCAACAATAAAATTCTTATTGATAAATCATCTAATGTTTTTGTTGCTTACTTATTTGCTGCTTAAGACATTTGCAGTTGCTTATTCAAAGACAGTCTTATAACTACTAGATGGACTATAAACAACAAGAAAAAGAAGCTATGTTTTTACACTTTTTTTCTTCATCTATTTATTTTCTGTACAAATGACTTATTTTCTACTACAAAAAATCTGTTCAAAACAAAATTAATAAATCTATGACCAATGTTTACAGCAGCAATAGAAACAAAAACAGCATTTAAAACAAATACAAAGTTAGTATGATATTTGATTGTAAAATGAGTAAGTTCTGATAAACGGTAAACCGTTCATTACCGTTTCTTTATAGCACAGCGATTTATTTGTTGATCAACACATCAGTATATTGGCTGCGAACTTATTGCTAACTGCCGAGATAACAACTAAGAATGAAAACAGTAGATTCTCCTAACAACTGAAATCAGCTGTTTGAAATTACTGGTTTTCTTGTAACACTGTAGTCAATGTTCGGCAGGTTTTTGAAGCAGGAGAGGCAAGCTAGGAACTGTGGAAAAGAGATGAAAAAAACTCAGAAAGACAGAGAAGAACTAAGAAAAAAAGGTTTAGATGACTATTGTGTTATACCTAAATACTTCTTTGTTTTTTTTA